GACGCAATAAATAGAAGCCGTCAATCTCAATCTATTTTTCTCACGCTCTTCAGTTGTGAACTTCTCATATACATTTCGTATATCTTGCGCCTCATTAGATAAATGATCCCATCCCTTTTGTGCAACATTGTGGAAAGATGCACAATCTGTTCCTATATGCATCAAAAAGCCACATTTTTTCCCACCCACCTTTTTCCAATTTCGAAACCCATCTATGGTAAATGCTCGTTGACCGTAGTGTCCGAGCCCGGATGGCTTGTTAAATAAAAAACAAGGAAAACAAAATGCTGCATCCAAGGTCTTTGAATATTCAATCCAGGGATGTAACTTATACCAAGAAGTTTGAAAGCTACGTCTATGACTTTCTAGTCCAGATTTTGGAAACATAGAAAGTGTAGGTTGAAGAGGACCAAGATTCATGTAAGCTCGTCGAATTGTATCTTGTTGATTGATAGGATAATCAGAAATTTGATGACGCAAAGCAGGGTCTCGTTCTAGTGTACCGAGATCAATATCAATTCTTTCAATTTGAGCTTTTTTGCAAGGGTTTTCAATAGGCGGAATACTAGATGCAGGGGTATTATCTACATTTGTTGTTTCTTCGGGATCTTGAGAACAATGAGAAGAAGAACTACCATGCTTTCTTTTAAAAAACCCATGAATGGTAGGTTGAGTTTTCATCTTTATCTACATTACATAGAAGTTTTAGTGTTAGATACTTAGATTATATTCACCTAAATCACCTAAATTCACCTAAATCACCACTTTCCACATAAATTTCCACATAAATTTCCACAATCCACATAAATAAAGAATGAACTATTAACATCTAAAGCCTAACCACAGTCCACAGCACAAGTCCACACCACACAGTCCACCTAAATTCACCTAAATCACCTAAGAAAGTAAGAATGGACTGTCCACATAAATTTAGACCTAAATGACTAAATGTCTAAATCAGTAAATCTGTAAATCAGTAAATGAGTAAAGCAATTAAGCAAGCAAATCGAAGGTGCAAGCAGTAACTTACAATCTTACTTACAGAGAATGAGAATGAGAGAAGGACTTACCGGCTGAGAGCTTGCCGTCGACGGTCGACCGCCTGCAGTGCTGATTGCTGCCGCCTCCCGCCTCCGCCTGGCCCGCCTCCGCCTCCGCTGGCGCTGCCCTGCCCTGCCGCCTCCGCCTACGTTGCGTGCCTGCGCAGTAGCTCTCCTCCGCGACCGCGCCTCCGCCTCCCTCTGACCCTCTCGCTCTCGTCGCTCTCGCTCTCGCTCTCGTCGCTCTCGCTCTCGTCTCTCTCCCTCTCGTCGCTCTCGAGTCCTACGCCGTCGCCTGGTCGCCTGGAAGTGGGGGGGCCGGTTGAGAAATTTGGGTTTCCTAATCTATTAGACTGTAAACTATGGAAGCCTGGAAGGGATTTTGGTAAAAAAAGCGCAGGGGCCAGGGCCCCTATAGGCCCACTAGGCGGTCCGCCCCTGTCTCTCATAAGTGTTAATTTAGAGATATCTCTAGATTTAGAGATTTATATCTTAAGCTTATAAATCTGAAAAAAGAAATATATTTTAATATAACTATTGAAGATGCTTTTATTACATTAAGGTTGTTTTGGGGTCATGTTGCTCGTTCGGAAGCTCTAATGGCAAAATTGCCCAAAATGCCGGAGATGCGAGAGAAACGACATATATGTTGTGTTTCTATCCGAATGGTCGGAGATGAAGCAATTTTTGGTTGCACCAGCCTAACCAATTTAGTGTTTTTTTTATACGTGTTAGGGTTGAAGATGGTCTAAATAATGTTTTATGCATTTGTATTGTCCACTAATATGCTCTCGACAATAGACAACTTAATCCAAATAAAAAAAATTAATTTATACATACAACTTAATTAATATAAATTTGAATGGAAAAATAATTCGGTTTTGATCTCGTAAAAAAAGGACTAAAACCCGTAGCGGTATTTATCTAGTTCGAAAAAAGCAATTCATCTCTGCTTATTATTTGTTACATGTTTTTTAATTAACCTGTATATCCAATCCGGTATGCGAGTCGATTAATTACAGGACGATCATCAGTTTTACGGGTAATCTGAATTCATCACATTTGAACCTCTGTGTCACAAGGGGAATATTTGTTACATATTGTAATCCACTTGCAATGTATTTTGTTGTTCCAACATGTTAAAACAGACGGTGTCACTGTCACCACAACTTTTATAATTCTTGGACTTCATTCCGTACACTTATAACTCATTATATATGATACCATTAGACGTTCTTACAGCAAAACCATATAATTTTTCAAAGCTATGGCTCTAGTTTTGGCTCTCGTAGTCTTCGTTTCGACTCTGTTTCTTCTTCGGTTTCTCCTTCGGTTTGTTGTTAAAGTATGGTGGACTCCGGTCCGTATCCAGAAGATGATGAAATCGCAAGGAATCGGAGGTCTCCCATATGCATTTCCTCACGGAAACACCCGAGTGATCACCGCCATGAGAAACCGATCCATGAACCAGCCGATGGAGGTGTCTCACGACATATTTTCAAGAATTCAGCCACACGTCCACTCTTGGATCAAAATCTACGGTAAGATTTACGAGTACCCACGAACGGTGTTGATTGTCTGTTGGTCTTTTTGACGGTTTACCTCTGACTCGTACTTGCTTTTCTTGTTTTCAACTTCTTTTTTGATTGTTCTTTTTCCGCTTTTCTTCTCACACTTTTCAAGTTCTTTTACTCTTTCTTTGGGATGAAGGCCAGGTCTATATATATGTCAATATCTCACCCCCAAATCATACCTTAAGGTCGGAAGTACTGGATTTTTTTGGTTTGGTTTATGAACGGTGTTGATTCATATGCTTATATGCGTTTTTTCCCGTTTTCCGCAGGGATTAATTTCGTAAACTGGCATGGTTCTCAACCACAACTTTTCATTACGGACCCGGAGCTCGTAAAGGAAATACTAAGCAACCGAGAAGGGGCTTATCCGAAAATGGATATGGAAGGGTATGCAAAGAAGCTGTTAGGAGAAGCACTTATAACGAATGAAGGCGAAAAATGGGAAAAGGTTCGAAAACTAGCGAATCGCACTTTCCATGCCGAGAGCTTAAAGGTGAGCATTGTCACTTTCATAAGTTAGTCGATATCATGTATTTCAAAAAATTGCTCATCATAAAGCCTGTTAGAGTCCCAAATCAGCGATTCTTGGACACATTCTCTTTAGTATATGTTGGAATCCCTTTTTTCTCTTACACAGCCATTTTACAGAGTAATTTAATGGGGTTCCACATATTCTTGCATGGTATCAGAGTCAAGATCTACCATCTGGGATATCTTTGTCTGCAACTTGCCACTTTCGAGCATCTTTGTCCGTCTAGTCTCTGTTGTAGGGGCCGTGTTGGAGTCCCATAATGGCTGGACTCGGACACTTTTGTTCAATATATATCGGAACCCCCTCTCTCCTAAAGAGCTCTTTTGGAGAACGGCGTTTCACATATTCTCACAGGACTAAACAATATGTTTCATAGAATATGGTTCCGGAGATGAGTTCAAGTGTCGAGGCGATGCTAGGAAGGTGGAAGGACTACGAAGGCCAAGAAATCGATGTGCACACAGAATTCGGAGTACTAACAACGGAGGTGATATCGAGGACTGCTTTCGGCAGTAGTTATGTTGAAGGAAAGCATATATTCGAAATGGTGTCGAAACTAACAGCTATAACCGTTAGAAACATCTATAACTTGCGGTTTCCGGGGATCAGGTAAGATAATGTCAATTGGTTCCAGAAATAGACCGTCGGGCTTTTCTTTGCTGCATTTGTAGTAAAATAAGTTCGAAACCGACTACTATCTGTTTTTTCAGTTCGATATTGAAGACGGATGATGAAATTGAAGCTGAGAGACTCGAACAGACGATAAAGAAATCGATTCTAGAGATTGTAATGAAACGGAAGGCGAGTATGAGTGAAGGGGTCGATGAGTTTGGAAGCAGTTACCTCGGCCAACTCGTGAAAATTGCTGATGATTCTAACGGAAGCAAGAGGATCTCGATAGAACAAATGATCGATGAGATCAAAGCCATATATGGCGCTGGGCATCTCACGACAACGAACCTGCTTTCATGGACCGTTTTCCTTCTAGCTATCGATCAAGATTGGCAAGACAAAGCGAGAGAAGAAGTGTTTGAATTCTTTGGTCGTAAAACACCGACTTCAGATGGCATAGCGAGACTAAAAACCGTAAGAAATTGCTTCCTTTTCTTGTAACCATAAGTGTCCGGACTAGCTTGGGCGTACCTTGATTAATCCCATGGACCCTAAAGATAATAGTCAGGAAAATCCCTGATCAATGGCCTTTATTTGCCAATTGAGATGGCCCTCGTTAAATTGTTTTCTTTTAAGGGTGCGTTTGGTACGCGTACCGGACTGAATGGACGTAGGTGAGGTAGGCAGGAGAAAGAATTGTAGAAGGTTTTAGGGTTTTAATTTGATACGGGTATTTTAGTAATTTACATAAATTTGTCATAATTGTTATTCCACATAATTTAGTGGGACAAAAAAGCATTTTTGTCCAAATCAATCATGTCTAGTCCTAGTCTAATCATTGTACCAAACGTGAGATAACAACTTTTTGTACTGTCTTATCCCGTATACCAAACACACGTTTAACTTAATCCAAAAGGAGGGTATGTTTCCAATTTCGTAGAACGGTTTGAATCTTTTAGCTACTTTCTTGAATGCAGATGAACATGGTGATTAACGAGTCACTCCGGCTCTATCCTCCGGTGCTTACGATGACCCGGAAAGTGGAGAGGGAAATCAAACTCGGAAACCTTACCATTCCTGCTAATATAAACATATTCATCTCCATTCTAGCACTTCACCACAACCCAGAAATATGGGGCAACGATGTTCTCCGTTTCCGGCCAGAAAGATTTGCGAATGGCGTCGCTCGAGCTACCAAAAACAATCCCGCTGCATTTCTTCCTTTTGGGATGGGACCACGAACGTGTGTTGGTTTAAACTTCACCACCAACGAAGCCAAGATCGCACTCTCGATGATCTTGCAGCGTTACAGATTCACCATTTCCAGTAATTACGTTCACTACCCGGCCGATGTGTTCATCCTTACTCCTAAGAAAGGTGTTCAAGTTATCCTCCACGATGTTTGAAAGACGATCACGTTTATTCCTATTCTCGTGTGTTTGAATCATTAAATTCATAAAATGTAACTGTGATTATCGTTAATGTTTTTATATCAACTAAACTTGAACCATTTATCATCGAATATTTTGGAATTCTTTTTCTTTAGTATAATTAGAGAATCTCCAAAAAGAAAATTACTCCAAATGCTTCTCCACTTTAAAAATCACCAACACTAATTAAAGTATTAAAATATTTAATTTATTTGATAAAATATTATTTATTTTTTTGAACATTTAATTTCAAATGTAGTGACTTCAGACTATCCGCAAATCAGATGGTCATCCTGAGAATAGCCAGCTCGCATAGCAAGTTGAATATCCAGGTTAATAAAAAAACTCATTATGTGAAACAATAATGTGAGGATGGATGGACCACCCAACTAACATCATATATCTAAAGCACAAATGTAATGGCTCCAAACTATGATTACATATTTCTATCCAATCATTATCATATTATGACTAGAAATTTCTAGATTTTGATGGATCAAGTTGAATGAGAATAGGTGGTCCATAACACTAAATAGTTGCTTTATGCCTGTCAATCAGAAGTCTCAGGATTTTAATTTAAGAGACATGAAGCCTACATTTTGTCATCTACAGAAAAAACAAGTTCAATATATTATGGGGGTGGCTAAGTAAACTTTAATCATTTGTGTTTTATAATTTTTTGTGTTTTTTGGTTTTTTTGTGATTATTATTTTTTATTTTATTATTAATTAAAGAAAATTTTAATTAATATATATTATTTATTTTATTTTCTGTTTTATTTATTTATTTATATTATATTTTAATTAATATAAATTATTAATAAATATATATTATTCATTTTGTTTTCTGTTTTTTATTTGTGTATATTAT